CCCACCCCTGCCTGCCTGGGGCCAGGGAGGGCCTTCGCGGGGCTTCCTCACACTCCCGCCGGCCTTGCAGGTCCACCGCCGGGCCCCTGACGTCAGGGGGTGTGGCATATGCTAATGAGTTATGCTAATGAGTCCCCCTAGCTTTTTTTCTATGAAACGACCCCTGCCTATGTTGCTTCCCCCCCCCATTTGAACCCAAACAGATGATAACCAGGAACCAAGCTTGTTGTTCTTTTTATCTGTTAAAAAACGTCTTCACCATTTTGCCTGCTAATTTAACAAGCCACCCTCTCTCTATATACAACTATGATCTGCAATTCCATTCTATTGTCTGACGAAGTGTGCATGCATACGAAAAGTCACACCTTGAATAAAAACTTTGTTGGTCTTAAAGGTGCCCCACTGGACCCTAACTTTGTTCTACTGCTTCAGACCAACACAGCTGCCTACCTTCATCTATGGATATAATAATTCACTTCTGGGCCCTGAAAAGTCGAATGCAAGTCAACAATTAGAAAAATAAATAAATCGAATATATGGATGCCATTCCTCAGTTGGGGGTGGGGGGTCCTCCCAATTTTGGGGTCTCTTTCCCACCACCGGCCACATGGCCAGCGGAGGAAATCCCAACCCCAATGCAACATAATGACATCACACCCAAATGACGTCATCACGTTGGTGATGCTGCGTGGCGATGCTCTGGCATTTTGGGCAAACCTCTATGGTAACCATAGAGTTTTGCCCAAAATACCAGAGTGTCGCTGTGTGACGTCACTTCCATGTAATGTCATTATACCACATGCACGTCACGTGCTCTCTCCCACTCCCAGAAAGTCTCTCCCCCGGGTTGATCTGACCTGACAACCCTAATCAAACAACTTCCATGTGTTTCAGAGGGAAAATGCTACAATTCCCAGAGAACTTTTAAATTTCCCTTCTACCTTCAGTATTCTATATGCTATCCAGAGTCACCATAAAATGAGTCTGAAGATGCCCATGGAAAATTGCCACATGGTTGGATCTTGAAAACATTTTTTAAAAAGCTTTTGAACTTTCAATGTCCATCAATAATAAAAAGGGATTATATTATTCAGGATGCCAAATTACTCGTAACATAGACATTTGAGATGTTCCATGAAATACACTTCTAACGGTTTAACTGCTTTGATAGTTTTGACATTTAAAAAGACAGACATCTCCCAAAATAGCCTTAATTCTTGGAATCGGCCAATATATTGTATGAATTACAGGCAATATAATTTTTAATAGACATTTGGGTTCCCATAATTTTATGCCTGCTGCACAGTGTTACTTCTCCATGCTTCCTCCAGCTTTCCACAAAAAGAGGCACGCTGTAGTTAAAAAACAAAAACAAAACAAAAACACCAGCAACCCAAATCAGTTTTAAATGTATTTCAACTCTTGTTGCTTCTGTTGACATGGCACCAATTGCAAGGGGAAACCACAGATTAGCCTCAGTCATATGGCTGAGCCACACTTGGGGTGATTCCACACTAGACCTTAAATCCTAGTTCAACCCTGTCCCCGAACTTACATTCTACACTACACTCGAGTTCACCCCTGTAATTATCTTGAGGCATTTTTTGTTTCCCCATCACATTGAGGTCACCCCAGTATTGCCCCACACTTGTCTCGGGATAAACAGATGCAGTTATAACCAGGGATAAATGCAAGGTATTGTGTTGCGAGTTGAACTCTGATAAAACCAGGGATGATATCCAAGTGCAGAAATGACCTTAGGCCCCCTAAGGGGCTGCTGGTGCTCAGCAGTCACACTGAGGTTCTTTCCGCACTTGGATCTCATCCCTGGTTTTATCAGAGTTCAACTCGCAACTCGAAACAAAAGCCCAGCTTGGATATTATGCAGCTGAAATGTTCCCCAAATTTCCTTCCTTAGTTAGCACCGGTATTACCCTGCTGTTTTCCTCTTGTGACCATCATTTAAAATATATTTTGAAAGGTTGATATTTTTAGATAAAATGCGGAGAGTCCAGAGGTTTTTTAAAAAATTAACGTGTGCCAGACAAGAAAATTAGGTTTCAGAATTCACGATGAGGGCAAACTACTGAAATAAGAAATACTCAGTCAAAACTGGGCTGTCATCCTGGTGAACCCATCAAACACTTCCAGATACTTTATATCAGGGGTGTCAAACATAAGGCCCGGGGGGGCGGAATCGGCCCATCCATGGCTCACAAGCAACTGATGCAAGGGAGGGAGTGCTGGAGGAAGTGGGCGGAGCCACTCCATTGTGGCTTCAGCACGGCAGAACAACCTTGTCTGCAGCAGTCAAGCAATGTGGGAGCATCTGCCCAGTGTTGCACTGCGGCCTCTCCAGACCACCTATGTGTGTTTTCCTCTGCAGCCCCCTCCCAGCCAATGGGGCCTTCCAGTGAGGACACACTTCTGCAGCAGTCAAGCAATGCTGTCCTTTATACAGTTTCTATCTCCAGTACCCAGCATTACGTTTTATGGCACACATGGCCCAGCCCAACAAAGTGACATTTATGTCAGATCTGGCCCTCATAAAAAATGAGTTTGACACCTCTGCTTTATATGCTGATGTTATAGTCTAAGACCCCAATCCAGAGCCCCAGATATGCTGCAGTTATGCATGGGGCATTCCAGTACAGTGTTGCCCAGCCTGTG